CACACCGAGTTTGGTACAAATTGGTATTTCTTGGTAAAGAATTGTTGCAAGTATCAATTTTGAATAAATTAGCTTCAATATTTACTGATTTATCGAAGATTTTGTATTTCTCTAAATTACCACTTCTTTCAGTAGGATTCGAACCGACGATCCCACTGACTCAGCCAGTTGCCTATGCGATGTGCTAAGTACGCCTTGTAAATTATCGTTTGCTTTTTTCCACTATTTTCATTTTTGTTATGCCAACAATTCAATTACGATACCTTGCGCAAAGCTTTCTACTAAACGGCACACACATCTGATGAGAGCAAGTTTTTAATTTCTTATATGCACAGCACACGTGTGTGAGCTTAAATTGTTAGGGTGTGCTTCGCATGTGTGTGCAAATTCGAACCCTGGTTTTCAGCATGCGTTACGACCTTTTCCTCCTTTAACTTATTCGAAAAATTTAAGTTGTTTATAATTTTTCCAATTTGTTAACTCGAAAAAAATGTCAATAATATGGATTTCGTTATTAATTTCAATAATTACTTATTCTCAATGAATACGAAACGGTGTGAATAAATATCGATGCCGATAATATTTGCTAAGGATTATACTCTAATATTTTTTTCTTCAAAATACGTAACTACATACGCATGTATGTATTTAACTACATATCGTCGGCGATACTGCAAAACGTTCTATGTCACTTATTACCTCTGGTGCTTAATTGATCTGTTACACAGGCCAACAAAAATGGGAAACAATTTTGTAACCTAAAATGTTAAAGCTGTTTTTGATAGACTTTTTCATGCTGATTACGAATCCGCAAGTAAAAAGTTTCCATCACGTCCAGATTGTGAGAAAAACGTGGTCAAAGTATCAAAAAATCGCGGTTTTTGCATTATTTGAGAAGCCATAGCAAAAAACAAAAGGTGATAGAACCTTACACTTCGGCTTAAATTAAAACTGAGAACGAAAAACGACAATGACAATGACAAATGAATGTTTGTCTCCAAACCAAATTTGACAAGGGATGATGGAAAATCGTTCCACATTACATTAAAACTAGAACTCTCGACTAATATCTTGATGACTTGATGATCACTGATAGTCATTTATTGAACAATAACAAAATACTGGAGTATTGTGAAATGAAGGACAATTTTTCAAAAATATGCCTACATATATTTACTTAGTATAAAAATATCAAAAGAGTATTTATGATTCTAAATTCTTAATACATTTTAAACTTTAAAAATGAATCACGTTTTTTCATCGATATTAATCTTTTTTTTATTTTTATTTAAATCAATATAAAAATAAATATTTATGTAAGTATAGTAAAACATATAATTACAATAGCTTACACGAAAAGTGAAAATCTTTAAAAGATTATTTTATAGGCAAATTTTGAGTCGTTCAAAACGAAAACAATACCCTTTTTTCGTTTTTTGGTACTTTTCGCAGTTATTTGTCAAAAATCGACGCTATGAACCGACGTAAACGACGAATTACAAAGTGCCCTTTACAAAAATATATAATTTGTGCAGATTGCGCTCCATAGCATCTACATATCTAATTCGATTTTCATTATCTTTGGCTCAAAATTTACTGTAATGAGATATCTTCTTTATCGAATTTTTAAAATAATGAAAAAAAAATAATCAAATGAAACTGCGTATTTGATTGAAAATCTCACTTTTTTCGACTATGACGACAAAATGCAAATGGTCGCCAGTAGCACTAATAACACTGGTCGACGGCCAAAATTTACCAGAGACGCCGTTATGAAATTCGTATGTAAAATCACCCCCTGATTCCGAAAATCAAGGTTATTTTTAATTTTATGGTACCGTTTTTGAGATATTTGCAATTTACCGTTTTTGCAAAAAAA